TTTTCCATTTCCGGTGTCACCACGATCCTCGCGCCTTTCTTCAGCAAGTTATTGATAGGTACCAAGTATTCTGCCATCTCAGGTACGAATCTTCTATAATAATTCAGCGTCCCGAGAAGCCTACGAATCCCTTTAACGTCCCGTGGCACCGCCATTCGTGTGATAGCCTCCACCTTTGCCGCATCCGGTCTGACCCCCTCGCTAGAAATAGTGTGGCCTAAAAAATTGATTCGCGTTTGTCCCAACAGGGACTTCTCACTTGACAGTTTCAGCCCGAATTGTCGCAGCCTTTCGAATACCGACCTCAAATGCCCCACGTGTTCGGCTTCCGTTCTGCTAAAAATCAGCAGGTCGTCCATATATACTTGACATACGGAGTCGTCGATCCCCCTCAGAAATTCGTCCATCAGGCGTTGAAACGTTATGGGCGCATTCTTCAGACCAAACGGCATTCTGGTGAATTCGTAATGCCCCCTTTCGAATGTAAACGCCGTCTTATGTTGGTCCTTCGGGTGCATCCGTATTTGGTGGTATCCCGCCTTGAGGTCCAACGTGCTAAACACCACGGCCCCACTCAACCTATCAAGTATATCTTCGAATCTAGGGATCGGGTACTTTTCGTCTACCGTGTTGTCGTTCAACCTACGATAGTCCACTACCACTCTGTATTTTTCCTTATTATCCCCTGGCGCTGCCTTCTTTTTCACTGCCCACAGGGGACTATTAAATGGCGAGGTGCTATCGACTATGATCCCTTGCTCTTTCAGGCTTTCCAATTCCTCCCGAATATGCTGCCTCATCGCCTGCGGGTATCTCCTTTCCTTTACGTAGGTCACCCTATCTTGCTTCAGTGGAACTTCGTGTACCGTCTTCCCTGTTACCCCCAATACCTCGCCCTCCCTGAAGAAAATATCTACGAACTCCGCTTGTAACGCCTTTCTCCAGTCCTCCACCCTGTTCACCGCTCCTATCCGCACCCTTCTTTCTCTCGCGACCCCTATACATCCAAATTTCCTCTTTCCCAGCCTGATACTCCAAGCTCCTCTACGGTTTCTAATGCTTACCCCTACCTGTCCTAACAGATCACACCCTATTATGACTTGGTACTCCCGCGCCATGCTCTCTACCACATGCACCCTTAGCTCCCCCTTCTTCCCTGCCCACCGGTCAAGCGTAATTGACGCTTCCCCTTCTACTTTACAGGGACCACCCAGAGTGATTAGCTGGCAGCCACAGTTTTGTATCCGGAGTACCCTCTCGCTCCCGCACACTCTCCCCAACGCCCCCCGAGTCAAGATAGTACTCGAGCTCCCTGTGTCCACGAGACACTTCACTCCCCCATCTACTTCAATAATCGGCAACCAGCATGGCTTACCTCTAATATTGTTGCAGGTTGCTGTGCGGTCGCCTCTCTGCTGACACCCTTCTCAGATGCCACCTCGCTTCCTCCTTACCGCCGTCGCTCGTCGTTGCTCGCTCCGTTGGCTGCTCCTGCCTCCTTCGCCTCCACTGCTGGCTGGCTCGTCAGTCTCCGTTCCCGACGTCCCCGACTCCTCGGTTGCCTCTTCCGAAGATCCGTCTCTCTGCTGCATCCTAGCTCGTTTTTTCAACTTTTGAGCGTTCACCTCCATTGGCTCGTCTAGAGGTCTCTCCCTCCTGCGAAACATGTACGGGCACTGTCTGGCAATATGCCCTTCAGTCCCGCACTCGAAACATCTAGTGCGCGGACATTGTGCTACCAAATGTCCCGGTTTCCCGCACCCGTGACATTTTCGGTCTTCCCTCCGGGGTCCATTCCTAGGCCTGGACTGTCCGGATCTTCTCTCGCCCGTCGTGGCTTTTTCTCCGTTCGGGTGTTTCATTTCCCTCTTCCTCCACCCTATCTGGGCTGTCCGGGGTCGTCTGTCACTCACTCGGGTCCACCCTGGTTCTTCTACTTCCATCCGCGTCTCTTCCTCTCTTGCACTCAGATCTATCATTTCTTGGGCACACTCGAGGAACGATCGCTCTCTAGGCAGTCCGTCCCTTCTCCCAGTCTCCTTAGCTAACTGAACCTTGAGTATTGTCGAAAGGAATTCCATCCTAGCCTCGACCTCTCCCACACTCATGGTTTCACGCATTTTCTCAGTTATGCGGTTGTACTTCGCCACTAGTACCCCCGCATACTGTCCTCTTGTTTGGCGTTGGGACCGACACTCCCTAAACATTTGGAAGATATCTTCTTCCGGCGTCCATCGGCCCCCTCCGAAAGCCTTCTTCAACCGCTCCTTAATCACTGGCCATGGTGTCTCCTCGTCCGCTTGGATTTGGTTGAGGATGTTCCTCCTCACTCGGCACACGAGAGCTGCCTTCAGTGCTTCTGCGTCTCCCAAGTTCACAAGGTCCTCCGCCACCTTTGCTTCGATTCTTGATATGAGGCGGTCTCCGCCTTTCAGGAAGTGATTAAGTTCACCTATCTCGCCCCCGAATCGCTCCAGGTCTGCGATTGCTCTCCGTAGATCCTGCGTGGTTGCTGCCCTTATCTTCATCCACTCCAATGCATTGGCATGCGCCTCTGCCAATGTGTCCCTAGGTAAGGGAGGGATCTCTTGTATCTGCGGTCTCTGCGGAACCTGAGGGGCGATCTGAGGAATCTGCGCTATCGGCATTTCCTGAGGTTGCGGCATTTCAGGTGCGTTCAACACTCCTGGTCGAATTATGCCCTCTGTCGGCATCTCGTCTTTTCCTTATGACTAGGAGAAGAGAAAAAAAAATTAAAATAAAGACAGAAAAAAAAATTTTACTTCCGTGTTCTCCTGACGTTCTCCCGGGTTTCGGCACCAGTTAAGCGTCTCCGGGCTTGAAAGATAAAAAAAAAAGAAGGAAAGAGGAACGAGAAACAATACTCACGACTTCTGAATAAACACTGCTTTATTCGTCCAATAATCTGCCTTATATACAATTGCTATGTTTATTTACATTACAAGATGGTATTAAGGCTGATATCGCCAGTCTCCGGTCTTTATCTTATATATATATATATATATATATATATATATATATATATATATATATATACAACTGCAACCTATTTTCTTGTCTTACGGAAACATTCCTCCATTGTCCTTTTCCTGAAATAAGCCAAACCTTCCAATAATACATCATTCTATAGACCAATTAGCCTTTCTCCCAATCCTTTCAAACTTTTTGAAAAAAAAAACTACTGAAAAGAATCCTGCCCGTAATAGAATCCCAAAACCTTTCTACCCAACAATTCCGCTTTCATTTTCAACATTCCACTGTTCAACAACGACTCCGAGTTGTTGACCACATATCCTCAGCCCTAGAATGAGTATTGCTCGGGAGCATTCATGGACATCACGCAAACTTTCGACCGCGTATATCACACCGGATCACTCTTCAAGCTTATAACCCACGTACCCCAGTCCTCTTATCTAATACTCCGATTACACCTCTCTGACAGCTCCTTTCAAATTCGCTGTGGTACAGAATCCTTCTACTGTCATTCAATCGAAGCGGTAGTTCCTCGAGGAACCATCTTGGGTCCCGTCCTTTACAGTCATCCTATCTTCCAATTCAGATTCTGAAACAGCATCATTAAAACTACAAAGTCACCTTTCTCTTATTGAACACTGGTGTTCCTCTCTCCGACACAGTCCGGTATCTCGGCTTTCTTCTAGATAAAAGATTAACGTCAAATCCATTTACCAGACTTAATGACAACTTAACAGACGATACGGACAGCTATATAGACTATTGAATAGAAAATATCCATTTTCAGTCGACAAAAAACTACTAATGTACAAGACAATTCTGAAATCTATCTGGAACTACGGACTAGAATTTTGGGGAACAGCAAAACCTTCTAACATCAAATGCATTTAATCCTTCCAGTCTGAAGTCATCCGAACAATAGTCGATGCTCCCTTCTATGTAACCTATAAAACTCTCCCATAATGACCTTCATATCCCATTTGTTCTTGACTTTTTTTTTTTTGGTCCTCACCTTCCTCGCCGTTAAGGCTATGCTGGGTTTTCCCGGGCCAAGGGGTGTGGGCGGGGATTTAAAAGACGCCTTGGCACCGGGACGTGAACTCGTGGCTATTTTAATAACACATTTGTCATATATCAGGTTGCCGGGCAACGGTGGTGCTGTGCACAACGCTTTAGCCCATTCGGCCACCCCGCCCACCTTTTTGTTCTTGACCTAATCCCAGATAAAGTTTCCAAATTTCACCTGAAACTCACTCATCATACAAATCCTGTACCGCAATCCCTATCTAGCTCGTCTCCCCGGAGATTAAAACGGCAGTAGTCCCTGCGACCTTAAGTAAATATGTATATATTGGAGTACTGGCAATGGCCAGATTCTCCACTCAATTCCTGAGCGTCTGTTACACTAGTGCCCTTCATCAGTCTCCACTGGCTTCCAATACCAATAACGCGGCTGAGAGAGAAGCACTGGGATCTCCTGGAGTCCTGCTTTGGCTTCCACATTTGTTGAACAAAACTCAGAGTCCCCTGGGCGGATATAAATATTGTATATAGGTGGGAATGTGTTTTATCTATTTTAATTTCATTTAGTTTCTATATTTTTTTTATTTTATTTTCTACAGTTCTTTTGTTTTAATATCACTGTTTTAGTTATTATTTGTATGTATCTATTGTGTGAATATTTAATGTAGCCCTTATATTAATGCCCTCCAATGTGGCAGAACGTATTAATCTTCAACTACAAAAAATATTTGATTACTTTAATGTGATCCCTTATGTTTTAATATGTTGGCCTGACTTTAAAAGCTATTAGTAGTACTATGCATATAGTATTTTATAGTTATTGATAATTCTGTTTAAACTATATTTTAAATATCTTGTTCAAAGTGAAGTTAGAGTTTGAAAATGTTTTAAAAAATTGACATCTACAAATAGATTTTGAAGTTGTGATTGATTTGTGTTTCTTTCTTAATAATACTAGCTGGACTAATCGTGCTTTGTTTCAGGAAGTATATCGAATAGGGGAAGTACGAGGAGTAGTACGAACCGGTATAAAACTTCTGTAAATTCTGCGAGATCAATAGATAAAAGAGTAGTTGGAAGCCGTTACGTCTCGCCAAAGTCAAGCCGTTCCCTTGTCTACAAGTTCAGAGAAGCGAGCGATGATGAGACTGATTCAAAGAACTACCTGCAAAATGTGGTCGACATAATTTCAAAATGCAAGGATGTTCTGCACAGTCAAATATTCGTCAGTATATAATTATATTTATATTATATTCTAAATATTAGTGGAGGAGTTTACTTCAGTGTGTTAAGGGGCCTTAATTGATCAATATAATATTATATTATCTCCGTGCTACTATTAGCTGAGGTGGGTCTAGGCCGAGATCTATAGGGCGTTGGCATGATCCAGGCGGATTTACAAAGTTTTGTAGAGCCAGTTTTGTTTGTCTTCTAGAAAGCTTAATGCAGAATGTCTTCAGAGTATCGATGTAAAACCGATTCGTTGCAGGCAATGGTTTTCTAGTTTTCCCATGGCTGTAAAGTGACTTACAAGGCATGAGAGCTTGTCACCTTTTCAAATGTGTAAGAGCCAATACTAAATATAGGGATATTTGGTCTTTGCCTCAATGAGGATGTACCCCATAGATGAAACCTGAAGGTTCACAAAGCTCCAGTGCTGATCGATATCTCTTCAACATTCATATCTAATTCACCCACATAGACTACTACGTACTAAGTACCGGAGCCATATAAACTTGTAACATTGGTCTGAATTCCCGAGTCTCTCGCCAACTTTTTCTGTGCGAATTCATCTCTGACAATGCCTCGCAAATAGTGTTGCCCAAAATCGATCTTGCATTTTGCAAGATCAAGACCAAGGCTGCCTAACTGTTGCAAGACCAAGACCAGAACTGATAAAAAAAATTGATTTTTTAAAATTAAAAATTAAGGCAAAATAGATACTAATTGATATTGACAATTTTAGTTACTATATATTAATAATTGATAACATATACTTTTGCATTTAACTCCTCTAATTTTTCATTCAGGCTCAGTCAGGTTTCTCCTATCAAAAAAATTACATTATATCTCTATAGCAATAAGCTAATAAGTAACTGCAAGACTGTTGCGAGATTCTTGCGCAAGTCCAAGACCATGACCATGACTGAGTTTACAAGACCAAGACTCGTTTCGGTCCCGCATTTGGGCAACACTACTGTTAAAACATGGTGCATTTGATGTTATTATATATACTTTTAAAGTCTTCGAACAGATGGTGGGTCGGGAGTTGATATTCTTGGCCTCGCTCCAGGACTATCATTAAAAACTTTCCCAAAATAAATCTCTATCTCTTCTTCAACAAATAGAAAAAGTTAAAAATGACGTTGGAGAAAATTAGTTGTTCAAAGGACACATCATTGTACTTCTCTGGCTTAAGACATGCCATCTGCCGCGGAGATAATTTCATGAAATCATACGCGGCCGTGAGGAGCTCCTATCCATCTTATTTACAGATTTACGCGGAAAATAACTCAGCTCGTTCCACCTTATTATGTTTTATTTACTGGATTACTTCTTTTTTTTTTTTTTTAATCTATTTATTGAATAATAATACAATATGCCACTGCTGGAGGGCTATAAGTTTTAGGGCTAAGAGTTCTCATTCAAATAATTTATACAAATAATAGAGAAATAAATATAAATATAAAAAGTAAATAAATAATACTGATGAAGAAAGTAAAAAAAAAGAAAAAAAAAGTAAACAATAACATAAAATAGAAACTTCTAAACACAATCATACCTATATACAATATATACATTCGCCCAGGAATCTCCGAGCCAGTCTTTTTCCCCCACATGTGGAAGGCAAAGCAAGACTCCAGGAGATCCCAGTGCCACTTTTCCAGCCGCATCACTAGTATTAGAAGCCAGTGGAGACTGAAAGAGGGCACTAGAGTCACAGACGCTCGGGACATGGGGATTACTTCTACCGCTTCAATGTCTAAGGCTTGGTGTGGTGGATTTTGTGGCAGCTGTAGTACAGGGTGTTGTGATGTTAGGAAATCGATTCAGGAAATAAATGAGGCTTTGTTGATAAACTTTATACCAAACATACACAAAACACTTTCATTCCTTTACATAAACATCACATTATCAGGAACAAAGAACTACTACTGTCAGGGTAATCTCACCTAGGCCAACCTGCTTTGTTTACAACAGCTCAGCAGTGCTGCCAGTTAACGTGCAGTAACTCTACAGGATGTGATATTTCTTCTCAAGTGTTCTACTTCTTAGCTAGCGGACTTCTTGGATCTCTGATATGTTACAAAATGTTCCAGTAAGCAATAGGTAGGTCAATTTGGCAGTTCCTGGTCTTATTCCTTTGAGACAATCCGGCTTTAATACTTTTCGTAGTTTTCGTGATAAGACGTTTTAAGAAGGATAGGTTACCAGCCTATTTTCCCCAAGTCAGGTGGAGTGGCTACCTCCTAAGAACGTCCTAACACACTCCCCCTTCCGGAGCGGCTATCTAGGACAGATGATCCTAGGGTGTGTACATTTTGTGTGTGTATGTGGGTTCTCCCCGATTCACCTATAAGGCTATACGAGTTTTTTTTCGGTCCATAGGCCGAGGGGAGGGATTTAAAAGACTCTTCCAGCCCGGAGACGCGAACTCGTGACTATTTTTGTTTTTATCACTTTATCTTATATATCAAGTTGCCGAGCAACGGCGGTGTTGTGCACGCGCGTTAGCCGATTCGGTCAACCCGTCCAAACCTAGGGTGTGTACTTTTTTTTTTTTTTTTTTTTTGTTCTTCCCTACCTCGCCTTTTAGGCTATACGGGATTTTCCCGGTCCGGGGGGTGAGGGCGGGGAAATTTTAAAATCCCCTCCGGCACCGGGACGCGAACTTGTACTTTTTATATCATCTCAAATCTCTGTTATCCGGTTGCCAGGCAACTAGCGGTGCTGTTACACACGCTTTAGCCTATTCGGCCACCCCGCCCCCTCTTAGGGTGTGTACTATAGGTGACCTTTGTCTTTAGTGTGGGTGTGAACGTAGTGTGCTGTATACAGTGTACTGTGTGTAAAATGTGGTGTATGTGTTCCCCCTACCAGGAGGACCAGTAGCTGATTGCATTAGTATTGTGTGCTTAAATATGTCTGCTATATAGCTATATTTAGACATTAGACACTCGTTGTGCCATCGAAAAAAGCAATGAAACTCTCCGGGCTGGTGGTATTTAATTTTAACAAAACATATTAAAACAAAAAATGAAATAAACGTAATTATTATTAAAAAGTCATGAAGTTAGATTTAATATTTCGAAATTATTTATTTCCTATTCTTAATAGAATAACTTTAAGTCAATTTCTTTTTAACGAAACTTTTTTTGTTTTGAGGTCCTAAATTCGTCTTTTAAATTTGGCCACTTATTCCGGAAATACCAAGTATATTTAAAATAAAATAAAATACTATAGTTTATATTAATTTTTATTATTTTCATAATAATTATAATAATTATTTTATTATATTCATTTTTGTTTTATATAGAATAAATTATTTATAATTCAAATATATTTATGCTTTATTATAAAATAAGGTTAAAGACTATTATAAAAATAGCATTTATTAAATGAGACTCTTTAAAAAACTAAGATATATTTGTTTATTATTGCCTATGTTAATATAAAACTTAGCATTGTCCCATTCCTAGATATATGCACAGATAAGAGTGGACTTAAGCATTTAATTCTTCTATTGTGCAGAATTTCTCATCGCAGACGGTAAGACGGTCTGATAATAGCTTTGCTCTATCGTCGAAGGCCTTGGTTAAAGCCAAAATACAGAAAGGAAACGCATTGTTTCAAGAACTTGAACATGAATTAAATGAAATACGTCGCCAAAGTCTCGTAGTTTGGTTGGATATGATTAATGGTACTTATAATATTTTCGTTATTTCTCTTTTGAAGACTATACCCATAAGTAAACGTTAATAGGATTTATTATACTATTTAGTATGTTGCATTTAATCTCATATGCATGACCTATTCGAAAAAGTAAACGTTGTTGGCCGCAACAATGTGTAACCCTGGTGTATATATATTTTTTTTGTTTTGTATTAGAAACCTTACAGACATTTTGATACCTTAAGGTACTATTTCGCTGGCGCGGCCCCCTACCGCGGTTGACCACCGCTTTAGTGGAATAGAAAGGAACCTATTTCGCTGGCGCTGCTCGGCACTCTATGTATGACGTCATATCTAAGCTGCTCCTACCTGACCGCTCCTGAAGCAATGGATCTGTTGGCGGTTCGGCGGTTGTAGGTTATGTTATCATATCAGAGCATTGTTTTGATGATAACAGTCACGTAAATACATTTTATTTCCTATGCTTCTTTCGAGTCTGGCAAAATGTTACAAATATTGTTTAAAACTTAAACAATGCAAAATACATTATTTTTTTAAGGTTGAAGTAACAAGATTATTTATTTATTTATTCCACCAACAATATTTTACATCGAAATACAAATATAGCTCAATCCAAGCGATATTAAATCATTAAAGAATCCAAAAAACTTTAACGTCACGTAAGTTCTAAAATCCACCCATTAAAAAATCGATTTTTATTTTTTAATTACAGTGGTGATTTACTGATTACTATTGATAAAATTATAAAACATCGCCTGCCAGAATTTAATTACAAATATATGATATTTATTACTAATCAGTTATGTATTAATTACTATTACTTTTCAAACTTATCAGAGGGACTATTGTTGTTAGTACGGCGTTTCCCGACTTTTTGTTCTTTTTTGGTTGTTCATCTAGACAATAGCAAACAATGTCCAACAAGGATGATGAGCATCTCATTGAAATACTAATATTCCTTCGCCTTATGAACAACATTTCTTCTTCTTCTTCTTCCTTCTCAAATAAAGAAGCGGTAATCAGAGATAGGATGTCCATTTTTTTTATCTTCGAAGATAAAGTGAAATGTTCGAAGGATTTTTTTAAAATCTTTCAATACTTCTTTCTAGGGGGATGAATAGTTTCCAAATCTCACAGACGTATGTCAGAACTGGCTTTATTACAGCGTTGTACACTCTTACTTTGGAAATTCATGAGATTTTTTGGGACTTCAATACTTTTGAAAGTGAGAAATAAGTTCTATTATATACTGTACTATTTCCTACCGTTCATTTATTGAGGTTATTGTGGATGATAAAATTATATTGAGAGCCTAAATATTAGCAGAATAAATAAAGTGGCAGCATAAATTTGTTGATTTAATAATTTAATAGCGTGGAATTAATAATAAATAATATTGCTTGAATTTACTGATGTTCAGCCGTTGTTTAACATTTATTTATTTTTACGTTTCAATCATGGTAGTTTTGATTATCTATGGATAGTTTTTTCCATCGATCATCTTGTCATGCCAGCATTCTTCTCGACGCATTGTAGCAATCATACTCTCCTCCACATCCAGCAGCCATCTTTTATGGATCTATTTTTTTCCCTCTGTGATGGGATAGTGAAAGATTGCTTTTGTCCACCGCTTCTCTGGCATTGTATGTAAAGGGCCATACCATTTCAGCTTTTTTGTTTTATTATGTTGTCTATACAGCCTGATGGTAATATTTGGAATAAGCTGAATTCCAAAAGTGCATCAACTTACTATATAATTTTTTTTTTTCAGAATGTTTGTTACTTTTCATGCTTTTCGGAAATCAAGTCACCATTATTTTGAATGCGGAATATAAAATATTTGAGGACACATGGATTAATAGTATGAAAATGCTCGAAACCGAGTTTCGTGAAGAATTAGAGAAATTTGATGAAGCTTCGATAGAAAATAAGGAGGAAATGAAGCGGCGGCTAAAGACCATGTTCGGCCACCCCAAGCACAGGGAGCTTTTGGCATCCTTGACCAGCGAGGCTTCAGCCTTCTGCAAGTCCCAAACCGATGATTTGAAAGCTCTCGTCCTCAATAGAAGGGTATTTGCTTCATTTAGGAATTTTGTTTTAGTTTAAAATTTAAAAGAAAGAAAAAAATACTAAAATTCAGGTCAATTTATTTTTTTTTTTAAATTACATAACTTACCTTACCATTAAATGTAAGAATGAAAACATTTATTAAAAAAAAAAAAAAATACAAAATAAAATATGCATTTATATCTTGCAATATCTAGACATTGATAAATTCTTCCAGTCAGATGGGGTAATCAACATCAAATATCTTTGATTTGATTTTTAAATAAAAGAAAACAGAAATTATGACGTTTCTACATAAATATTTACATTCTAATCCGTAACATTTCTGGCTAATATAAAACATTTACTAATGACTGACAAAAAAGGTAACTGACGTGATAAATCCTAATTTGTCTAAAGATAATCTTTAAGCTAGACTGTACCCTGTCAACATTTTTATAATTGAAGAAAAAATTCAATTATAATACATTACGTAATTATGTTGTGAGATTACTTATATGTTTTTCATTCATCCTTTTATAACATAGCATACGTCTTTTTATCTATTTTTATTCTTTATAGGCATCCCAAACAATATTTGCCCTTGAATTATTAACTTCATCGATTACTGAAAAATATATGTAATGGATAGAAAAATAGTTAATAGTTGATACTAGTTGGGCCGTGCGAATAATACGCACATTATATTGGTCAGTGAACAATCGACTATATAATATAGAAATAAGTTAGGACAATGTATTATGAGGTAAACGAAATATTTCTCCTTTCCTCAGTAGAATCATTCATTCTTTTCTACCTATATTTCCTATAAGGTAATTTAATAACCTTTCAAAAGTTTTATTATAAATTTTACCGTATAATATATACTTAGGGAGTTAGGCCCCATAAAATTTTCTTTGTAACTTGTTTTCCTGAATTTTTTCGGGAATTTAGTCTATATACATTATAGGAAATTTTATCAAAATCTTTAGAGCCGTTTTTGAGCTACAGTCTATAGAAAAACATGTTTTTCATTTATTGCGCGCAAGCTATTGCACGTGGAGAACCGAATTTCTGTCACAGGCATCAATAGATGAAACCCTACAAAAAAAAAAAAAAAAAAAAAAAAAAGAAGCAACAAAATCGGTTCAGGAGTTCCCGAGAAAATCTTGGCACAGACAGACAGACCAATGGCTAAAAGTATGTTTTTTGGATTCAGTGGGCTCTGAAACTTATAGATTCGTCGAAAACCGCATGTCGGAAATTTGACCCGATTGCAATACTTTCCTTAGCTAGTATAGGTAGTTAAGTAAAAACGTGTCTGCATTTCTATAGGCTGTATCGTTGCAATTAATTGACCGATTTCAATAATTTTTTTTTTTGTTTTGTTTTGTAGTGAATTGAATACCTTTCAAAAAATCATGAGTATACCCTATAATTGTATATTTGTTTAGTTATTCACGATTAAAGTTTCTTTTCCATTATAACTTTGTTTTGCCTAAAACATCGAGAAGATGTAACTTCAATACGTCACTTATCCATGAAATCCCCTTTCGTTTGATTCGCCATTCATCAAAATCTATAGCTCCTGAAAGCCGAAAAAAGAACCTTCACTAATAAAAACCTTAATATATATATATGTGTATAAAGTTAGGTTACTTTTACAGTGATGTTTTATTAATAACAAAAAAAAAATCATTTGGATTAGTTTAGTTTTGGCAACAATCTATTTATATATGCTTTATAGATGTAAACATTTTTAAAAACATAAATAATCGTTGGAAGTAAATAAAATGGCAGCATTTAATTTATTAAATGAATAACATATTTCAACTGTCATTATAATGAGTATACAGAGTGTTTCAGGCCAACTTTCGAAAATGAACTAAGGACCTAAAAACAGGAAAAAAATTTCGATGAAGGTATGTCCGCAAACGCTTTGTTTAGAAGATATTTACACCTAAAGATTTTCGTTTACCTAAAGAACTACTGTATTAATTAAATGTAAACATTAACATTCACATCATATAGTTTCAGTGTAATGTGTGGTTGGGTATAATATACAATATTTTATTAGGTCCGCATTTCTTGCCGCCTCGACTTAATGCGGAGACATTTCTGGAATTTCTTAATAATGATTATTATGATTTAGTTGAACATATTCCACTTTAATTGAGAAGGGACGTGTGTCTTTAATTAGATAGTTGTTCTGCACATTACGGAAGAGGTCCACGACAATGGCTAAATGTTAATTATCACAATCAATGGATTGGCCGTGCAGGACCAGTGGCTCGACCTGCACGCTCTCCAGACCTGATACAACTGGATATTTTTGTTTGGAGTGAAATTAAACAAAAAGTCTATGCGTCCGGTCAATGACCTTAATTCCTTACGAAGAGGGATAATTGAATCTTGTGAAACAATAACGCATATCCAGTGCCGTTCTGCCACTGCTGCTGTTGAAGAAAGATGCCGAGCCTCTCTGTCTTAATGCTCAAGGAAATCACTTTGAACAACATTTAATATGAATTTAATGTTTACGTTTGATTAATAAAGTAGTCGGAACAAATAAATAAGTTTTATTTACTTAATATAACATAAATAATTCATGACAATGAAAATCTTTAGGTGTGAATATCTCCTAAACAAAGCGTTTGCGGACCTACCTTCAGAGGAAATTTTTTTATCGGTTTGAGGTCCTTAGTTCATTTTTGTAGTTATTAGTTAATAAAAACACAGGTAGGCAGATCGTTAAATCACACTAGATATTACAACTTCCTCGTAGATAAAATCGCTATTGTTAGTGCAGAAGGTCGTAAGTGAAAATTTGTTTTTTTTACAGGAGACCATCAAAACTGACTATTTCTTTATGATTTATTACTATAATATCATATTCAATCAAAATTACTATTTCATATTTGATTTCCTCCTATTTTCGATAGTTACAGAATACTTATATCAGTTGCGGAGTACAAAAAGTCATGTTTAACAGTAATAGAATAAAAAAAAACTTTTAAAAACGAATTTTTACACTAACAGTAGCAAAACAAATTACTATACAAACTTTACTTCTTTTTTTGTGTAGACTATGATATAAGAGAAAAAAAAAATGAAAAAACATTATTTATTATAAAATATTGCTATTGGAAACATTTATCATCTAAAGTCATAATATTTTCATATTGTGTCTAAACAGATATCTATCATGAGAATCAACCCTTATTGTACTAACTGACAAAATAAATGTTTCTAAATATAATATTTATGTACAAGTTGGCCCGTGCGAAAAATTTGCACAACATATTGTTATCAAATGCCAAATTAATAAGAAAAAAAAACAATACAACGTATCAAAAGCTAAAGAAATATATTGTTCCTTTATCAATAAATATAATCGAGAAAGAATACAAAAATTAATTTAAATCTTCATTAATGTTTGGAATCAACATGTTTACAAATTTCAATAAGCTGTATCTTTACTAAAAGTTGTCCGATTTCGATGATTTTTTTTCCTTTTATAGGGAATTTAGTAATCTTTTATGTAATCATGGGCCTAAAGGGAAAATGTGTAATTTTTTAGTTATTCGCAAATGAAGTTTGATTGAAGTTCATAACTTGTTTGGCTGAATTTTCGGGGTTAATGGACTATTTTGCGCGCCTGAAGGAGAAGGAAGCCTTCGAAATCGGTGGCCCAATCTTGAGATTTGGTGAAGAATTAACGATGATATGGCTTGCCGATAAAAAACATCATCGATAAATAATATAAACTCCTCCTCTCTCGATCATAGAGGCCTCAAGTAGACGAAATGAGACATGTATTCAATGACAGTACTGCAATTACCGTAAGGTTGTGTCGATGCGAACCCTATGCCTTGCGTTTTCTCGAAAATAGTACGTTTTGGGGATTAGAAACGCAGGATCCGATAGTTCCGAAGGTCTTGCTGTATGCATTAAAATCTTCAATGTTCAATTTTTCCCGTTTCGATCTACAGACCTACTACCGTTCCAGTATTGAAGCCTAGCAAAATGTTTGTATAAACTTTATTTATTTTAGAAAGAAAAACAGAAGTGGACAATACGATTCGCTAACCCCACTTGATATTCTGAATCTAACTGTACCCCATTCATGATATTTGATCATGATAGGAGCTTATATTTGGAACAAAACCGATTTCAAGCCTTACTGTAATAATGTATGTGGGGATGGGGATGGGGATTCATGAAAATAATTCAAGCAAGTTTTTCTGAAATGTTAATTATTAATCATAAATTATTACTTCAAACTGGTATTTATGTCCTCAATGTCTAGCAGCAAAAAGATTTTGATTTGTCTGATCATGAATTTTTCCGAAATATAATATTCCATTCATTGTAATCGTTGCTTCTTCAGAAAAAAACCCAACCTAACCCAAAAAAGTTTTCTTTCTTGAATTTCCAAGTACTCCAATATTGCTTCCGAATTCTTTCATTATAAACTAGACGTCATTATTAATTTAATGTAATAACTTGTCATTATGAATTGACATTTAAAAAAATAAACATTATAAACCACCATTGCTTGAATTATTTTAATGAAAAACCAAATATTAGGATTAAGAACATTTAGATGGCCTCTTAATTCAATAAGGATTAGTTCCCACCTTAGAAATTTGTAAAACGCAAGTTATATTATGACTTTAGATGATAAATTTTTGAAAAATATTTAATTAAAACTGGTTTTTGGTAATAAATTTATTACAGAAAAAAATAATAAATGAATAATTATCTTAAAATTTCGGCTAAAAATAAGGGCACCCTGGGGGAAACTGCATATCAAATCATTATTTTTTACACAACTGGAGGTTTTAATCTGAGCTCATTCGTTAAGAAATCTAAACTTAATTAATATGGACTTAATGAAGCAACTTTTGCTAAACTTGGGGTAACTTTAGTCCAGTTCGAGGGTATTAAAAAAAATCAAATAATTCATTAAAAGTTAATTAATGGACCAATGAGGATTTATTTTTATTATTATTTTTTTTTTTAATAAATGGTTCAAAGCTCTAATAAACATTTTGAAATATTCAATGTTTTATGAGATGACTAGTTGATACTTATGATGTTTCAGAGCCAATTAAAGCAGTTCTTAATGATGTTCATCGATGAAAAGAAAAAATTTCTAAAAACCCTGTACAGAAAAGTGGAGAATGTTTACGAAAACGAAGATTTAGAACGTATACTGTACAGGTTGGCGCACCATTTCCTCAGTCGGTCAAGAAGCAAAAAAATCATACAAAATATGATTAGCTCTCATGAAGCAAGTTGGTGAACAAAAATTTTTAAACATTATTCTACATTGTAATTTTGAATTCGAACAAATAAAAGCTGGTAAAAAAAAAGATTTGGTAAAACATATATATCATACCAATATATATATTTATATATTTTGTTTTTTCGGTGGGCACTACAGATCTTGTAGATCTTTGACTGCGAGATGTGGTCTTCTAGACCACATCTCGATTCCTGATTTAAGTACACGGGAGTAGGGTCATCAGTTCTACGCCCGGTCGGTGTGAGTGGCCTGGAGACAAATAGAGCCTTCTGAAATAGGCTGACGGGCCTCATAAACCCGGGGGGGGGGGGGTTCGGGCAGCGTGGCTTTCCCTGGTGGACGGTCATCCATCCAAGTGCTAATCACACTCGACGTTGCTTAACTTGGTAACCTATTGCAAACGCCTTAGCCCGCACGGCTACCCCAGCCCTACATACCATTATATATCTTTGCCAAAAATGAATAGGGATATTTCTATTTAACAATGGAATGGAATCATATTGAAGAAGTTCGCAATTTTATCGTGAGAATGAGCGGTAAAGGGCACCGGCAAGTGGATATCGCCCATGCAGTGAGTGTTGCCCAAATGCAAGACCAAGACGAGGCTTGTCATGGTCTTGGACTTACGTCTACAAAAATAGTCATGGCCTGAATCTTGGACAAGCGTTTTGCAATTACTTGTTAGCGTATTGCCATTTATTAAACATCTTATTTCAGAACTTAGGAAATCACAACAGAATTAGTCCAATTAGAGGTTATATACACAGACATAATAAAGTTCTACCAAATTAATAAAATTAACTTGACCATACATTACAGGCATTGTCAAGAAAGATAGTAATAGAACCTCGCCTTAGATGGAATGGAAGATTCGTAGAGTAAAGACTATATATAAAAATATAAATATAAATCTGATGTGCCCACCCACACGAATTTCCTACAGATTAAAAAGAAATTTTGTGTGCGCAACACACAACTTTCACTTGCCGATCTACTTTGAATAGCAATTATTTTCTGGCAATGCTGGGCTATTATAAAATTTTTCGAAGTGCATTTTAAATGGAGCAAAAGCTTGAAGCTTACAGATAACAAGTCATTAAGACCTTTATAATTACAAAATGTCTATTTAATATATCGACGACAGGCAATAAAAATCTAGTCACTCCATCTGCTTTTATAAACCACACAACTTTCTTTGCTTTTATAAACCACAGAATGACTAACTCCAATTTCAACATTTTTGAGTGATGTCATTTTAGTGATATTTTTAGTTGAAAAAGTTATCTATGCAGACAATGAGTAAGTTGATTCCAGAGGTGGTGATTGCAGTGTTGAAATATAGAACTGAGAATAAAGGTATAAATTTAGGTACTTATTTCTTATGAAAGATGTTCTTAGGAAAGACACTTTATTAAATATCTGTAGAAAAAAGTTTTTTTTAGTCTCAACAATTAAAAAAATATATTTTAAATTTATCCAAATTTTCGCCTCTTCAGGGAAAAAAACTAGAGACCATATCTTTCCTCCTAATTGTCCGATTTTAACGATTTTTTTTTTGTTTTTTTAGGAAATTCCGTAAACTTTTATAAAACCATATACAATATCCCCAAAAAAGCGTATACTTTTTGAGTTATTCGGAATTTAATTTTAACATCCCTCGTAACTTTTTTTCCAGCTTCTTTTCGTTGAAGTATGTTATATAGATAAATTTAAAGGGTATCGAGAAAATGACTTTAGCAAAGTTTCATTGAAATCGGTACATTCGTTTCGGCGCTACAATCTATAGCAAAGTAGGTTTTTCTGCATTTTTTTTTCTCCTTTATTAACTTATCAAATTCTTTCAAAAGTTATATTTAGCATTTTTTCGTAACTCTTAATAATGTGAAATGATTAACTTTTTAAAATAAAACATATTAAAGGTACTTTAGAGGAAGACGTATATGAACATTGGGCATTAAAGCCCTGTAAAGTGACATCAATGGGGATAAGACCTAATTGATATTAAAGACCACTTGATTATACAATGATACACCGAGTATAATCAAAATCGTTAGAGCCGTTTTTGAGGAAATTGGGAAAATGTGTTTCAGCGTTGATATAAAGTGGCACTTCCGATTAGCCGATTTTAAGGAAAAAGTTGCTGTCACAAGGCCTATCACACCAATCTTAAATACGTAATACCAGTTTCATAGGAGTTTTCGTTTTTGAGCTAGACTGCTAACATACAAACACACAGACCATTTCGACTCAGGGTACCTCAAAACGTGTAAATCCGATGAAAACTCAGATTAAAAAATTTTCTCGATCGCAATACTTACACCTACTATATATTACATATATACGTAAGTGATAGTAAAAATTGGCAATATCTCCATTTAAATAAACGCTATTGAATTAGATTAATTTTCCGGAAAACCAATCAGATAAATCATTGGAGTACGCTATGTAAGCTCTGAAACGTAAAGATCCTTTGGAAACCGATAGAATGTATTCTTTGGAGTAAGTCCCCAAAACATTTTTTTTTTTTTCTTTTTAACTGCCACTCTTGAATTTTCTCGAGAAAGCACTACATGTACAAAAATGTGTTTTAAAGATCGCAAAAATGATGTATGATCTTTCATAGATAAAAAATGATCTTGAATCTATTTTTTATTTATTTTTTTGTGGACGAAATTCGACGATTACAGATTAACCACAATGTTAACTTCTTAGAAAGCCATCCTAGTTGGACTGAAATACAGCCCGTGGATGAGAAGGGAAGCGAAGAGAGCGTCGATCAAAGCTCCTGCTGGAAACCGAAAACAGACCTCCCTACTTTAATAAAATCAGTCTCCATCAGGTTGAGGAAGATTATCAGCTTTCGCGATGAGATGCTGGAAGATAATGGCGCGGAGGTAAGGGCTTCACAATAATTATTATTTTAACCCTTGTTACTAACACGGCTAGGTCTGTTATTATCGCAAAATTAGTTGGACATCTATTTCGTAAAGTGGTTCCAGCCTCTATGCAATGTTTAGGCTATTTTGAAAAAAAAAAAATGTTAAAACCTATTGAACTACATTACTTCTTTAGAAAAACGACGAACTTTACATGAGCTTTTCCTTAGCTTCAAATAAAAACAGTAAAGTCTGAATTGGATTGGAAAATTGGATTGAGATAAATAACCTCAAATGCTATAAAGATGTAAAAGTCTAACATGTTGTATTAACGCTGTGTATGAACACTGAACCACAAGAAAGCGAGAGGTAAATCTGAGTATCGTTACATCACCTGGGTAATGTTTCGAATATGACTTCATGTTTTTTCTGTTTCAACGGGATCGGAAAAAAAAAAAAAAATAGAGCGATGAAAAGGGTCGACATAGACCTGCAACCAACAATAACGTTTTATATGCACCTGGGAAATTTCGTTAAGTAAAACTTCCTTTTTCCTTAACCGAAGGTAGGGAAGCATTGTATTCTTGCTAGAGGTTAAGAAAAATTTTGTGCTCAGAATCCAATATTTCCACAAGCGTTTCGTGTTTCAGACATCAAGGATCAAATTTCGTTGTCATCTGTCTGTCTGTCCAGGAGTGCCTAGAAGGGAGTTTCATGGCGCAACTTGGGCCATTAACATTTTTGAGGGGAGCATATTTTGACTGATTTTAGAATTTTCGAGGAGGCCAAATGTCGACGGGGTTATGAATTTTCGGACTAATGGAGAAAATGTATTTACACATGGAACTGACGGCAGCAAGTGTATTTATATATGATCTACGGTTTTTCTAATTCGACCTTAACTTGCTCTGTTTTTAAGTAAGGTGAGGAATAAAATATCTTGGAAGAAGGGAGGGAAGGGGGGTAGGTTCTTGCGCCATTGACCTTGGGTGAGAGGAATGGGCACTCCTGTGTATGTCGGTCTGTCTGTAGTCAAATTGATGTGACGGACATATCATCTATTACCTTTCATCCGAATTTCATGAAATTTTCAGGAATTGTGCGGGTTTGTGTTCAGATGTCCCATATCGATTTTATCGAATTCCATCGACTACTTTCGGTTGCGCGCGCGTAAATGTATTTTCATAAATATGGCAATATTTCAGAAACGGCTCATTCGATTTTTCTCAAAGTTGGATACAAGGTAGGTATTGTTAACAAATAATGTAGTATCAATTTTATCGAATTCTGTCCATTGTTTTCTCTTGTTTATGCGCAATGTGTTTTCCTTCATACGTCTATATCTAAAACCGCCCGTTCGATTTAACTCAAATTTGGAAGGAAGTTAGGGATTGTTAAACAGATAATCAAGTATGTATGAATTTTATGAAACGGTGAGGAAGCTATACTGACTTTACTTGGCAGACTTTTTTTTTATTTTGATAGTTTATGGAAAGATAATACAATCTGCCTCATGAAGGGCAATAAGTACTATATATATATATATATATATATATATATATATATATATACAAGAAAAACAACTGGAAATAGATATAATTTTAAAAAAAGAAATCTGCCAAGGAAGATCAGTAAAGCCTCGTCACCGTTTGCATTAGTTAAAAAATATCTATATTACAAGATCTAAAATTTTTCGTAAGAGAATAAAATCTCTGGGAGAAGCCTTTTTCGGAAATTCAGTAATCTCTCAATATATACGAATTTGATATCCACGAGCTTTGTTCATCAGCGAATACTAAAATGCGAAAAAGTTCCGCATACTCATATTGCATATTTGATGACTTGGGATTAAAAAAAATCGAGTGCTTACTGAACATGAATATCACTACTGTTAGTGCAAAAAGTCGTGTATAAACATTGAGTGTTTTACAGGAAAGTAAAAAACTAATTGTTTCGTTATGATTTATTAGTATAATTTCATAACTTATTGCCCTCTGCTATTTTTCTTCGTAGCAGAATGCTTACGGACTTTTGCACTAACAGTAGTAAATATGTACTTAATCGGCATGTTTTCACTCGTAAAATGGATGTTACAAAAACTCCATAACAGAAATAAAATAAAACTAAATATTTTATTTTTTCAGAGTTAACGAGACCAATATTTTTCTTCAGTCAGAACAAAACTATTTAAGCTGAAATATAAAAATATATGTAAAATCTGGTGCGCAACACACACCTTTCACTTACCGCTTAACTCTGAATAGAAATTATTTTCTGGCCATGTTGGACTATTATAAAATTTTTGAATTGCATTATTAACTGAGCTAAAGCTAAAAGATAAATATCATAAATACTATTAAAACAACAAGAGTCCTATTTATTATATCACTGGTTGATTATGGATTATACGATTCGTTGATTATGGATTGAAAAAAGAATTAAGGAAGATGGCCACCATCCAGAGACTACGGTCCTGGCCCTGCTGAGGCTAACAAAGACCTACAAGACGGTGTCCCATGAAGCGGTGCAGGTGCTGGCCGGAGCGATGGCTCTGGAACTAATCCTCAAGGAAGATACCATCAAATTCCACTTCAAGAGGCAGGGGCTGGACAGGCTATCGGAGGGGCTCCGTGAGAAAATTGTTGAGAACCAGAACCAATGGAAAAGGATTATCAGGGAGGATTCCATTGAAGAGTGGAACAGACGGTGGGAGACAAGCCCGAAAGGATCTACCCTCAGGAAGTTCTTCCCCACCGTCCGGCCAAGAGTAGATGCGGTATGGGTCCTCCCTGATTACTGGGTTTCCCGAAACATGGAGGTTTCCGGGGAAAACTTGCTGCCCATGGAAAGAATATCGACCCCGGGCGCCCTCTCTTCGGGGTCCCTAAGACGGCCAAGCACTTCCTAATATCTTGCACCGAGATGGAGGGACGCCGTGCGACATTGCTGAGAGGGATGGGAGTGTACAGCCTGACTGAAGAAGACTTTTCCTGCCAGGTGGAGAAGTAAAATTATTTGTTTTTCGGGGGTTTGTGTATGGGTGGAGGGATCTGATCGGCCCTGCACATTTCTCCCTGGGAGCGGTAAGAAAACCACTTGAAGAGACCGAAGACCACTGAGGAAGGACCGGACGGATGCGTTGCTGACAAGGTTCGGCTCCATCAGAAAAGTGCACAACTGTGTACCGGACTGCACCACAGTTAACCCAGTTGTATTCCAAAAATCAAAAATTTTCCTAAAATCACGTAAATAAATTGTTATTAATAAAGTGTTGCTTAATGGCAGCAGTGGGCATAGGAGAACCCAAACGTATTAACTCACTGCTGCCATAACCCCGTATGGCAGCAATGCCAGGTAGGGAGAAAAAAAAAGAAAAGATTTCACTACAAGCGGACAGACAGACACCGATCCAAATTTGATCCTTGATGTCTGAAACGTAAAACGCGAGTGGAAACTTGCGATTCTGAGCACATTTTTTTTAATCTCTCGCACGAACACACTGCTTCTCTACCATCGGTAGTGAGGAAGCAATATATACATAATTAAATAAAAGTAAGGTTAAGTGACAGTATCAAGTTTCATGGCCGCAACTGCAGTTCAATATTCATATCGTTCTGTCTTTGCTACATTGTCATCTGGTTGTTATTTAAATCCCTTTCTAAGATTTTGTAAACAGAGTGCTTATACTTGGGCTTGGTTTTACGTCACACAATTGTGAGTTCGTACCTAAGACAGTGTATATAATTTTTGTTTTATTTCTCTCTCTCTTTTATTTACTTATTCATTATTGTTTTATTTTTTTACTAAGACTTTTATTTTATTTATTTGCAGACAATGTTTTATTTAATATTTGTATATAGCTTTGTAAATAGATTAGTTATTAAGTATTTATTTTGTATATTTTCTTATTAGTGATATTTTTTTTTTCTTTCTCCTCTTCATCTTTTTTTTTTTTGTATACATTATTTAGAGGTATGGAACCTGAGAGAAACATTTCATGTGACGAATCAGATGAAGAGACTCCCTTCTCCGAAATCAGTGAGACTGATTCTCAATATTTAACCAGGCGTACCAAAGCGCAACAGACTCTGCCCCCGGGTCGTCGGGCAACTCACCAAAAAAAAAAAAATAAAATAATAATATATCCGCTAAATCAAAGCAGAGATTTAAAGAAGACCAAAATAAACATACTTTAAAAATATTCAACTATGAAAGCTGAAACTAAACCACCTACTAGCACATCCAGTAACAATTCTGTTGTCGCCAACAATAAAAATATCGAAATTACTCAGACTTTCACTAAACCAGAACCACCACCCATATATGTAAGCAAAATTGATAACTTTATGTAGTTCGGTCAAGAATTAGCTAATCTAATCGGACAGACCAATTTCCGTTGTTTTTATCGTATCTACTACATAAACAAACAAACAATTTTACAGTTTGTTGTAAAACAACAGTTTTACAATCAATACAAACACCAAAGATGACTATAAAAAACTTATAAATCACTTGACATCATACAATTATAACTTCCACTGTTATCAATTAAAAGAGGAAAAAACATATAGGGTCGTTTTGAGAGGTCTTCACTCAACCACTCCCACTACAGCTATAAAAAAAAAATATCTCGAAGACATCGGCCACAATGTAAGATTCTTTTTTACATCCAATCGATAAATACTCACTTCCATTATTTTTTATCGATTTATAACCAGCCCGGAATAATTCTGAAATCTTCGAAGTTAAAAGACTATTTTATTCAACAGTAAAATTTGAAGAACCGAAGTAGAAACCAATAGTCGTGCAATGCACCAAGTGTCAAAACTTAAGGCACACAAAGACCTACTGCCATTACTCGGCGCGGTGTGTGAAATGTGTCGGTTCTCACGCCTCTGACACATGTCAGAAATCATTAAATGAACCAGCAAAATGTGTCCTTTGTGGTGAGGACCACCCTGCAAGTTATCGGGGCTGCATTTTTTACAAGAGGCTATATAAGCAAACTACTTATAACA